CATCTAATTTTTCCAAAGGCCTACGCCAACGGATGCTTGCAACAGCCGAAGCCGTAGCTATAAGGCTAGAAAATCCAGTGCTGTGTTGTCATAAGACTCTGACACAAGCTCTTTCACTTCCATTGCTTAAACCAACACCAGGTGGCGATAGGACTTCGCCCCTGCCAACTAGCGACAGTCCCTCCACCAACACGCTGACATGGCCTACATGCGCAAACTGACATAGTCTGCGTTGGCTACGCTGACATGGCCTACATGCGCAAACTGACATAGTCCGCGTTGGCCAATCGAGCTCCCGCGTTAGACAGTTATTGATTTTTCTACCTATTCAAAATTTAATTGCTATGTACAGAGCTAATTTCCCTTGCAAACGTTTGGTTTGATGAAGAGTTTCTGAAAACAATTGTTTGCCATAAACCGACTTCTAATATTAACCATGGGAATATTTACGTACTGTATGTTTCAGAAGAGAATTTGCCGAATATTCGTTCTATAAAGACTTCATATTACTGGAATTACTCCTTTTCTCGAGTAGGGGGTTTGTAGGCGGTGGAAAAGACGTACGTTAGAAAGGTGACATCCTGATCTCTATAGCATATTTTGAGACGCGTCACGTTCTTATACATATAACAATCACACTTGATCGTGCTCAAATACGAAGATCAGAACTTTGATCAAATTTAAACGGATCAGTCATCGACAGCGTGTTTTCCTAAACTTTTAGCTTGCATAGAAATGATCCGCTTGACAATTAGTTGTTTGATTGCTGGCAGAGAAGGTGCAGAATGCAGCGACTAATTCTGAATTAGCTTCAACATTTGTATTATTACTCGTTGTTGAACGTTAACCGATCGATAACGCAACGCACTCTTCCCGTTCAGCCATGGGTCCCATTCTCGGGCCCTGACGGCAGGCCCACAATGGCAAGTAGTCTAGGCAGATTTTATCGTAGGCAAGGGATGGTGCACCACTTACGGTTCGGTATGACTGGCTGACGACGGCTAATAAGCCATAAATGACCATTACATTCTCCCCTGTCTTTGCTGCTTTATGACCGTCTATGGGGCTAGTTACGGTTTTAGGCGGAAAGTTGAAAGCTTAAAAAAGCACGAATATCTGATCTTTTGACTGGATCACACAGTTAAACTGCGCCCCACTCGATGCTATGCGAACTTCAGTAGCACACATATAATTGTACTTGCTAAATTAAGAAGATGGGTTATTCATGAGCAGACTGGCGCATGAGAACAAAGACTTTCCAGGAGGATTTCAGTTTAGTAATGTTACGAATATTTCATGTATAGGTATCATTCAAAGGATTTCGAATCATGCACACAGTTTATTACTATATTTGCTTCAACTAAAGCTTATACGATTATATAACGTTTCAAGACAGTATGGTTGCTCATTCTTTATGTTTTATTTGTTGGTATCCTTCGGATATAAGCTCTTCGCAAGGGCCTTTCTAAATTTCTTGAATTTTACTTTTTTGAAAAAGCGTGTTGGTTTTGGACTTATTATAAAACAAATTGGACGACGGTTTAAAATCTTTATTATTTTTACTTTCTTCCGTACCATTGGAAGTTTACCGCTTTCGGTATTTCGGTCGCGGTTTAGCACCATAAACTGCTCACATGCAATACTACGTACACAAGTTCAGTAGGTGTTTCATATTATAAGGACGAGTACATATGGTATTTTTATGGTGAAACGAAAATGGTTATGAAGTCTGACATTCAGTATTTGGTGTGCCTCAGAATGTACATTCAAGTCAACGCAACAACAAGGCTCTAAAGACAATAATCCACTTTGCCCACTTGTTCATCGCTTCTCCCCCTCAGCAACATTTCGCTTTGTGAGGTCGGTTTTGCCGGTGATTGTGTTGGTTGAAAACGAATAGGAATTGTGAGTCGGGGACGATCAGTTGTGGTATTGTGCATCATTTCGCATAAAACCTCGCCGAATCCCCTCTGAAAGTGTACAATAAGGCAGAACCAATTTATCGGGTGCAATAATTAGCCTAGACACGATGATCAGCTATCAGTCAAAAGAAGCACCCTGCCGCTAAAAAGCACATCTACGGAAAGCTAGAGTTTTCAATAAATGCGGAAAGACAGACTTGGGAAGATATTGGGACAACAATGGTATTGACAATAAGAATAAAGAAAAACGCGGAGTGGGAAACACCACGAGGGAGCTAGGAGTAGTGTACGATAAAAACGGGGAAAAAAGTGCAATAAATAGAGGACAAAATGGTTAAACGCCTTAACGAAGGAAGAAAATATTATATGCAGTTACCTTTGCACGCTTGGCATCGACAGCGCAACGGTAAATAAATTCAAAAACTGACAAAACGATGCCAGTTACGAGAGCCCCAGCGAGGAGATAAAAAAGGCCATAAACGTTGTCCAGGCCCAGAGAATTGGCTGTTAGGGATCCCTGGCAAATAATAACAGAAGTTACATAAGGGTTTGGCATGCCATAAATGGCCACTGGCAAAATCACCTCCAAATCTTCAAAATTTATGTAACTCACATCCTTCGATTTGCTCATTTTTCCACATTCTCCCCTCTCCTCCCACCAGAAGCGATACAAGGAGGCGATCCAGTCCATTTCCTTTAACTGGAGTACCGCAAGATTGATCTGGTCACGCAGATCTGATCCGGGTGGGGTAGCAACACCGTAACCCTTTCCACTCTCAAGATTGGGGCCAACCTAAATGTTAAAGTTACATTTGGTTATCCTATATCGGTAGTCCTGTGTTTTTGGAATGCCTTCGTTATTGTACCATACCCATGACATGGGATTCGCCTATGTTTCTGCCATTGCATGATGCAATGATAAGGGGGTCGGCGTTCTCCATGCGGTTTCCGGTACTCGGTACATTTGGTTATGGAATTCCTCACTGTTTAAATTTAAACATTTACGCTTGCTGACATTCACCTTTACATTTGAAGACACTTGATATCATGTCTTTTTCTTTGTAGCATTCTATTACTAAAACCACTAACTGTACTACGCATTAAGGGGTGTTTATGTATATACCTAGAAAATAATTTCAGAAATTATTAAGGGTATGACTCGAAGGTAAGTGACCGGAACATGACTTTTTAGGGTCAGACCCTAAACTATGATAAACATTTGAGTCGAAGACAATCAAAGACAACAGTAGCTTTTGTAGGCCCACTCATTAATCCCTACTCCCTGCATATTTTCCCATTAAAACGGTGGTTATATGGTTTTATGGGTGGGGAATTAGGACACACAGTGGAATATACTTTAATAAATGCCAAATGCATTATTATTTTGGTGTTATTAGAAGTGGTATTGATTTATATCTGTAGATTTTCCTAATCTATATCATCGTTAAACTTATTGCGGAAAAACTCGACTATCAAATTTCAGGTTTCCGAATTTCCCGAAAAATTGAAATGATGGTTAGGAGGTCGTCTACTTCAACTTACCTGCCAACATACCGTTCTGGAGTTAGATTAGTATAGTCCGTGGCGCAAAGGCCCGCGAACTCTCAATTTACATGCGGAACAACTTATTCCTAGCGGCCACGGGAAGCAACTTCGACTACATTTTTTCACTTTACACTTCTAAAAATTTCTTTCTCTGCCTACTGTATTTTCCCACCCCCAAAACTATATAACTACCCTTTTGCAAGAAAAAATGCTGGAACGAGGAGAAGGTGAGTGGGCCTTCATAAGCTACTTTCGCCCAATCAAATTCTGTCGAATAATCACGTAATGCCCACTGAAAAAACAAATAGTACTGAAAGTAATATGGTGTTATACCGTACTCCCGACAAAGATACTAGCTGGAAGCTCAGACAAGTGTTTTGTTGATGTTTCTGCTTTGAGCTAGTGCGTCTATCTAGGAGGTACGATATGGTATCTTCGCGAGATGAACAGCAAACTGCTTTTACTGCTTCTTATTTGTAGAGTTGACACTATGTTGCCACTCCAAAGAATAGCGGAATATGAGATCTGACTCTTAAACATCATTTTGCGGTCATTCACCTCCAAGTCATGCACTTAATGACTCCTGAACTGATTACCCGGACTTCTCCCGTTTTACAGTCAGGCAAAGCTCTCTAAACGAGCGGAAAATTCTTCGGCTTTATTTAACTAGAATTTTAAATTACCGTGCAATGGCATTAAATAAATTATATTTAGGCTAAAATTATGAGCCTGTCAGCCCAGGCCATTGTACCAGCAAAAAAGTTTTTGCCTTAAAAAGGAAATAAAATTGGGCGGGATTTTGGAAGCCTGGGTAACTGATTAATGTGCATGTTTTCCACTGAAATGCCAGAAGATGTGGAAGGACAAAAGAACCATCTAAATTTGTATGCCACGCCTAAAGTTAACTGAAGGCGGTTGGAAATATGAAGAGGATGTTTGGTCGCAGGAATAAAACTTTTTTTCGCCTGTTTTTGCTGATTCTTAATTTTACCTATTACCAGAGGGAATTTCCAAATGCTATTGCCTGCAGCTTTGCGCTGTTGCAGCCGCGATAGTTCGATCCGTAATTAAGACTGGACAATTCATTGGTGTGCATTTTGAGCCTACGTATAAGAGTATGCGAAACTTTAGCAACCAATTACTGCTCATATTACGCACGTCAGCAAAGTAATCCACTAGAGGTTAGCAACAAATTTGAAGTCACATTTTAAAAACGACTGACCCGTCATTCTATAAACGTTTAGGAAATCTACAAGGTCAAACAGCGAAAGATATAAATTTGTTGGTCTTTAATCAGTTCTGAACTGTGCGTTTTATATTATAATAATACCAATTCATCAAAAGCGTTAAGGTTGATTTTGTGCCGATTTTCAAACAAGCATTACAATTTGTAAAATCCGTTAATCCAACCTGAGGAAGTGTGGCTACTTAGCATAATGTCAGTAATATAATGAACAGAATATAAAAATTTACCGGGTTTAACTAGTAAGAAAAAACAAGCCTTTTCGGTAGCAAATGTCTGGACTCACCTTAACAGTGTTACAGGGTTGTCGTTGGTTGAAGTACTCATTCATGGTTGATTCCAGCAGAAAAGCGTAGTCGCGATTCGACTGACGAACTCTATTTACGCCATCGCTCACACTGTCCACCAACACGTCGGGGTTCGATTCCATGAATTTCCACATCTTCTGGAATATCTTCATGTTAGACTTCTACAGACGCATAAAATGAACGTAGATCTGGGTGGGCAGACGACGAATGGCCGCATCGGGTATTTACATGGACGTATTTGAATAGACGTTTACCGTTAACAGATATGATGGTTCTCATACTGCTCAGGAAGATGAAAACCCAGAGGCTAAAGCCTAGCCCCTAGAACATTGCAGATATTCATATCTCTCTCTTGAAATGGATGAAAAATGTGCTTTTGAAACGCCGCGGTTGAGAATTCTCCTGACACTGAGTGGGATAGATTGTACCAATCGATGGTCATGGTCTCCTAGTAGACATTTTTTTCTCAAATATTGCCCTCCGAACGGCAATTTTGACGGTTAAACGGTCAAGATTTGTGCGCGTAGTCACCAAGCATATTTGCCTGCACATGGCTTTCCCAGACCTATCCTAATTCTGGACTACACCACGAGGCATTGCCTGTTGTTGTAAAAATCCTGTCTTGAAACCTGACAGGCAATTATATACAGTAGACGCCGTTGATCATGCAATATTCCGACATATGCGAAAGATTAATACTCTTTCGCTAATCGAAATTTAATTCAGTTGTGATACTGATTATCGTGTAGTGTATTCTGAAGTCTTTTCAGTCAGGATAGGAAGCCGGCTTTTTAATGAGCTTCGTTCCGACTCCTAGCAAAACGTATCTATTATAAAAACTGACTTTTTAAATAGTATGCCTTTTAATCCTTGATTTTGACTGCCTTTATAAATTCAAATATA